TGCCAAGAACAAAGTTTCTCTGCTATGCTCTGAATGGAAGAGCCAGGACTGACTGCTGTCAGCTGTCACGTTGCTTGTTGGATTTGGACAGACAATCCCTATTCCAGACTCCTACTTTCATTCCTGCTTTTTCTACCAACCCTGATGAACAATTTTTCACTCCACTGCAAAACAGGCTTTTTGTTTCATGGTTGAAAAGGAGCTATGTGTTATGAAAAGTGAAATTTTCTTTCATCTCTTTGTAGTTAGAGAACAAGTGAAAACATAGTCATTCAACAATATATACTGTATGAGCGAGGAGCTGAAAAATCACAAGTTAAATTAATACATATTGTATTTGTCTTGCTAGTGTGACAGTTTAGGTGTAGTACAGTTACTATACTGAGGTCTCTGTTTTTATTTGAGGCTTGTTGGAGCTTGACTGTGCAATTGAGTTTATTTACAATAGGAACTGATGCATTAATAAGGAGCAAATTTTGAAATTAAAAATGTATTTTTAATCACAAGTAAAATGTATTCTTGATTTAACTCTACTTTTAAGTAAAATAAAAAATCATTACCCGCAATAAATGTTCAACTTGCCTGAGATTAGATTTATGTGTTTATTTTCATATTTTTATGATCTAATTTTGTTTCCCACAGCACCACACATTTTCAAGAATGCAAATTTTTGGTTGCTAAATGTAACTGAAATCCTGAACCTGTTGCACCACTACATTATTGGGTTTTGCAACAACAACTAAGCTGCTATAATGTTAATATGCTTTATTAGGAAGAATGGACTATGTGTTGGCAACCCTGATTCTCAAATGTAGGGTTTCTGCAGTGGCATCTTTAATCAGCCCCTGAATGAAACCTAGAAAATATACTGATCTTGATATTGACCATTTAACTGGTTCAATTAAGTCACTAAAGTCACTGAAAACCTCAAGCACTGGCGGTTTGGAACTTGGTGTGAACGTGGCCAGCACTACCAGTGGTAGTGAATATTCATGTATTCGTGATGACAGCCATAGATGCAGCACATGACCCAAAGCAGTTTTGGATTCCATGACCTTCAGAATGCCATTGTTTGTTTAGTAGAAATTTACCAATCTTTGCCATACTTAAATATGTTAGACTATAATGTGGCTAACAGCACGCATATTTTGTTCATATTTAAACAGCAGGGATTCATTTTGATTTCACTCTTTGAATAGTTCACAGCTGCACAAATTCTGGGCAAATACTGATGAGTAGAGTTTTTTGTTGGAATTGTTCAGAAAGCACTCTGTTGCATTTTCTTTTAAATGATAATTATTAATATTTATAGCTTAACATTATTGTTTGTATCATAATTGTGTTTAAGTATAGTGTTGTTCATGAGCTCCATCACTTTGACTGTGAATTAATATGCTTCTTAATGTGCACATGCAAAAGGTTTTATAACTTTTATTAACTAGTGCAACTTGCGTCATAAGCCCGTCAAGAATGCATTTCCTGGAAATGAACTAAACTCTAGACAAAATGTTCTTTGTGCATGACTCAGCAAAATACATTTTCACTTTTACACAAAGTTGGGTGGAATTCGATTTTAAACAATCGGTGTTTGTAAATACAGATTTTTCACAAACGTCTGATAAAAAACATTCTTAGTAGATCGTTCTAGTTGTCTTATATACGCAGGAACACCAGACCAATTTGATTCTGGTGGTAGTACTCTGAGTTACAGTTTCTTTCATTTTCTTGCAGTAACAGTATAGGACAGACAGCACCTACGGATTTGGTTTCACCCTAAGCAGACCTTAGCGAGAGACATTCTGTACCCTGCCAAGTGGAACTACTCTTGGCTGGTTGTTCCTTTTGGTTTTTAAAATGACATAGGTCTGATTTTCACTGCCCTCTGACTTTTTATTAAATGAAGGATGCTTTAAACAATCAAGAAAATATCTTTGTTGTATACTAGAATAAAGATACTATAGTCTTAATATTATAGCCATGTTTTATGGAAAATATACTGAGCATCAATTATCACATAAAACTGCAAAATAATAATTCAATTTAGTATAAAACTACTTTTTGTAGCAGGTGCATTGCCTTATTATTGAACATGCCATAAATAAATTAATTTTGTTCAATAACATTTGCTGTCTAGTGAAAGTTACTTGATAGTAGCTTTTGTAGGCACCATTGGAATTAATACCAGCTGTACATCTTTCACATACTGTATGCTTTGCATCAGGATGAAAATACTGTCTTGTGGATTTCTGTCCCTGTCCTCTCGTAGAGTTTGGATAAGCATATGCCTGTTGACTTGTTTTTAAGCCCTAGTTGCTAAATTTGTCCCTGAATCTCCCACAGATGATAGGGCTCAGGTCTGACAAGTAGGGCTTCCACAGCATAACTGCCACTTTTCATCTTGCTAGAAAGTCACTGTTGTACAAGCAGCATCATGAAATGAGTTGATCTACTAGACTGTTGTCTTGTGAGTATGAGATGCAGGAAGAGTTGCAGGTAAGGTCCTGGAACTTGATTAGTAGAGCTCCAGACAGGTAGGTTAACATTAATCATTGCACGTAAGTTTTGTTGAGATTGCCCAGACCCTCAAGTGTATACCTCCCCGTCAGTTGTGCACAATAGTTAGAATATGTTTGTGCATATGTGTTGCTGAACTCCATCAACAATACAGTGATGTAGTACTGACAGAAAAAAGTATTTTCTGATTTTTATGCAGTTGTTTTGACATCTTTTCAGTGTAAAATATTTGGAGTATTGGCAAAGAAGCATAAGGAAACTTTGCTTCCTCTTTTGTTGCCACATTTAGCTCACAGCTGTTTGGGTTCAATCTTTTTTTAAAAATCTAGATTATCGTCAAAACAATGACACTCAAAATTATATCTTGTTAGTCACTTCAGGAGCTCTGGAGGTAAAACTCCTAATGCAGATTTTCTAGGCAGTTTAGTTAGAAAACAACTGGAAAAGTTACTCATCAGCTATGCAGAGGATTCAGTAAAAGTTTATTCTTCCATTTTGCTAACATCTGATATAAAAGCATCATGGTACAATATGTTCCACTGGTTCTCTCTGCTTACTTGGATGTATTGTAATACTTGGCATTTCACCCTGAGTTATACACTAGTTTAATTAGCTAATATTTTCCCCATTAGAGTCTGCCTATACCTCATGTCTCACACTGGCAAGGTTTGCTCTGTGACCATAATGTTAAGCTTTGTTCAAAAGTGTGGCGGGGCTTTTTACTCTTCTCAATTTGTGAAATCCCTGTCTTTTTATTTTAGTCACACAACTTTTAAGTTGATTAATCATTTTCTAAATTATGCCTTTAAACTGATTTTCATTTCTAAATCGTTTTGTGGTCATGGAGGTTCACAGAAATGTGTTCCCTGTACAAGAAAAGGATAGAAAAACTGAAGAAGACATGTAAACGCTTTTAGTCTTGGTGGCCGATTACCTTTAATACTTTCTCTGCACGGCTGTCTGGAGGGTTTCATGTGATGTTGCCTAAAAACAAGGGCTGTTTAAATGCATCCGCCTAGCCTTTGGAAGCCCTTAGTTTGTATTTGTAATGCTGTAAACCTAGGACGGCTTCGACGTTGGCCATTCTTCCCAATTTATTTTGGCAGCTACAGTATTTACAGTAATAGATTTTTTCTTTCTAGAGCAAAGCTTTGAGTACTACACACATGGCCGTCTTCCAGGGTGCACAGCAGTATCATATTTAGTTCATCTGGGAACTGAGGATATGGATGGGCTTTCAGTCCTGTTGCAAAGTTTCAGCCACACAGTTGAGAATGGAGAGGAACTCGTTTCTAAGATTCATTCAAGAATTGCTTAACCATATGACTGAATGGAAAAGGTGATGCAACACTGCTAGTCAGAGTCTGTGCCAGTGTATTGGAACAGCCCTTTGCCTTTGTACTTTATCACTGTGCATTTGTAACCAATCCTTTCCTACGTAAAAACCTGGGAAATGGTCAAAACAGACAAATTAAAAAATACTAGATCTTAATAATCCTTTACATGATGTTGATTTACATTAGGAATCAAAATGAAGCACAAATAGCCATTTTATCTGGGGCTATTTAATTGTTGTATAAATCCTAACAAAAATTTGTTTTGCTAAAGGAGCCCATGTCATGTACTGACAAACTATAGGTACAAATATCTTTAATTTATTTGAGCACTTGGAATTATCTTCCTGCTATTATTCTTTTATTCATTATATTCTTATTGTTTCATCATTACTCTTCATTAATAACTAATTTTGAAATTATTTATTTTCTGTAGTTTGCAATGAAATTACAGTTATGGAGTTATATGGATTAATTTGCAAACAACTGTTTACTTTATCACAAACTGTACCTCAGCCATTGCTGAAAGGGTGTGATAAGGACAAGAAAGGCTTTAACCCAGCCCTTGGTAAACTGTCATGTGTTCTTGTTACTGATTAGCCCAGTATCTGCTAACACCAAGCGTTTCTGACTTGCGCAGGACTAGTATCTAAAATATCCAGGTTCCACTGGTGAATGATAGCAGCTTGCTTCTTGTTCTTTAAAGTACGTTGAGGTCAAGTGTTATAATTTTGCAATTTAAACTGTCATGCAGTGTGTCTGTAGTATTTAGTATTTATTCTTATCCTAATTTGAAAAGTCAGTTTTGTGATTACTACTTTTTCTTACATTTATTAATGCATGATGTCTTCTACACATTACTACCCAAGAAATAAGATGAGATAATGAGGTGTATTAAGCCTCCACAGTTACCAAACGCCAAGAACTTTCTTTTGCTACTCTCCGTAATATTTCAGTCAAAGCCTATTTACAGTACATTGGTACCAGCCCTGAGCTACAGCAAACTAATTAGCAACTAATGTTTTTTTATTTAATTTTTTAATCTTCGAAAACATTTACCCCTCGCCTGTCCCTCTCTCCCCGCTCATACTCTTCTCTGCCACCCTCCCCTGTTCTCTCTCTCTTTCCTCCCATCCCTCCATCTTCGTGCAGACACGGATGCAGAGTCTGCAGCCAGACCCAAAGGCCCAGTACCGCAGCGTGCTCGAGGCCCTGCGCAGGATGGTGCACGCGGAGGGACTCCTGAGGCCCCTAAGAGGCCTCAATGTCACCATGCTGGGTGCCGGCCCGGCCCACGCCCTCTACTTTGCCTGCTACGAGAGAGTGAAATGCTCGCTGAGTACCATCATCCAGAATGGCGGCAACAGCCATGTGGCTAACGGTATGTCCTTCGCAGAGTGTGCACTCTGGATATTTGACTATTGTCACACGGTCTTCCACTATAGCTCCAATAAATGTTGAATGCTGTGTTATCTATCTGTAGTGCGGTCAATGATATGATACATGGCAGGAAAGCCTTCTGACCCATGGTGAAAGTTAGAGGCAATTTTGTGCCTTGTGCTTAAGATATAGAAGAGACAAATTTGCCTGTGATTAACTATGCATTTTCTCCCTCCCCTCTTGTCAAGAGTGCAAGAGTCACAGGCCTGCAGGACCTTGAAATGGTGGTTATTTTGAATACTTATGTCAATTATATTAGAACATTTAACACCTGCTATTTCTAAAAATGCAAGTGCTGTAGAATAGTGCAAATGCAAGTAAAAGGAAAAAAAGAGTCGAGCCAATCTAAACAGTAGTACCTACACAATCATGAAAACAGAGGTTCCCTCCTTAACAGAAAGATCAGTTTGCTAGCTGCTGGTGTTGAGAATATCAAAAGTAATATACTTGGTTTCTTGGACTGTAATGGTACTATTGTGGTCACCGTTAGGTCAAAAGGAGTCCGTCACCAACTGCCCTGACTCCTTTTGATCGAAACATCTTATACACTTCACTCCAAAACGTATTTCCCTCAGGATAGTCAATGATATCTGTGTAAAGACGTGAAGTGGTCAGTCAGGTCTCAGTCACAGCTGACTCTGTATTGTCTATGAGATGGTAGTTCAGAATGCAATCACACTGTTATATCACTATTCATCTGCTCCCACAAGCAAGCAGCTTGAGCCGCTCTTGAGATCACAAAGCAGTTTTCATGAAATTCTTTGTCTCCCTATACCTGCTCAGAGAACTAAGAAAACATCTTCTGATGATGTCTTTATTAGAAAGACTGACAATGCCAATATTTAGAGATTCTAACATTTTGTAAGAAAAATTTGCTATGCTGTAGTTTAAAGTACTGTAAAATCAATCCTACATAATTTATATCCTTTTCAGAATTTGCAAGTTCAGATTATTTTTATTTATTTGTTTGGATCAGTTCCTGTTTTCTAGATGTAGGTTTGTATTTTTCAGTGCTGATCCTCCAGAAAGAGTCTCGCTAATCTTCTGGTTGTCATTTCACTTGAGCTATTAATTAGCTCATATCTGGTCCAGGTTAAGATTTGTTCTGGACTCGCCAAGTGTCAAGTGTCTTGAGGAGTGAATCTGAAGGACAGTGCAGGAAATGCTCTAGCGTGTGCCTGGTCCACCTGGTTATTGTTGTTTCTTTTGTTCCTGGCAGGAATTGCTGGTAGTGTCGCCACAGTGCTCCACGATGCAGTGATGAACCCAGCAGAAGGTATTTTAAAGAAAGGTTCATTACAGTACTTCCAGGCTGGTCTCCTTCAGCTCTGCAGTTAGCGCTGTTGCTTTGTGTTGTAGTGGAAGTTGAATGGAGCAGACAGAGGTTCGTCTTTGTGCCTTGAATTGAATTGTTCTGAGCTCCACATCCATTGAGGAGCTTTTTAAAGCAATGATGGGCAAGAACAGTTTTCACATGGGTCAGGTTTTACGTGTGTTTTTCAATGATGGAGAGAACATAAAAAGTTTAGTGTCCAGACAATCAGATCAATTACATAATTAAGATGAGAGGTGGAATAAAGCCCAGAGGGTCCACGACCTTTGGGAATTAGAATTTCCCAAGCCTCATTTAATCGTAAGAGGCCCCGACTAGCTCTGTTGGTAGAGCATGAGACTCATAATCCCAGGGTAGTGGGTTCATGCCCAACCTCCAACATGGAGGACCTGGCACCTGAGATCCCGTACAAAAACTAATGTTACAGAACGGCAACAGGATGTTGCTACTGTACCCCTACATTCTGGAAGGCATAATGGGAAAACATCCATCCATCCATCCATCCATCCATTTAATCATAAAATTAAGCCTGCATGATTTTAGGAGCTAAAAACAGCAAAAAAGTTACACAACTTTAGTTTTTATAACTGAAACTTTCAAAGTTCCAACTTCAGTTTGCATTTACCTTTATTGAAAATTCAGTGTGGCAAAGTGACAGAAGACAATCTGTTCCGTGGATGTGAAATAAAATAGCTTTGACGTGGATTAAAATAACTTCGTATTCTTTTTACACGGCACTGTATCCGCAGAGAAACCTTCTCAGAATGGTTTCCTACTGCCACCTACTGACCTGAATAGCTTGTGTATGTACTTATGTACAGTATGTCTTCCTTAGCTATAATTATTGCATGAACAGTACAGATTGACACTGCCTGTTGCATGATGTACTGGAGTAAGCATGCATGTCCTAGGCCTAAAAATGATATAAATAGGAAATTTTAAGCTTAAAATAAGTGATAAAGCTAAACCTAGTCTGAAAAATTAAAGTGGCACCCTAATGGCACTTAAACATAGTACAGTACATTATTGTATTACATTACCTATTTAGATGTACTTATGAAGTACAAAACATGTTTTACTAACATGATTATTTATTATTTGTAAATAGTCACATGTAAATAATATTATTTGTAAATAGTTACTTGTGAATAATATTTGAGTCACATAATACCCAAACTGGATGGACAAAAGGAAATGATGGGATCTGACACTGTAAAGGATGATAATATTTTCCAGAACTAGAGGTACTTGAAAGTTTTTTTTTTTTCTTGTTGCTTTGTTCTGAATGTGATGCCTGGCACGATCTCAACTGCTCACTCCCCCCGGTCATTGCAGTGGTGAAGCAGCGGATGCAGATGTACAACTCTCCCTACCGAGGGCTGTGGCACTGTGTGACCACAGTACACCGGACCGAAGGGCTGGCTGCCTTCTACCGCAGCTACAGCACGCAGCTCACCATGAACATCCCCTTCCAGGCCATTCATTTCATCACGTACGAGTTCATGCAGGAGCGCCTCAACCCGCAGAGACAGTACCAGCCGCAGACCCACATCGTTTCCGGCGCCTTGGCCGGGGCCGTGTCTGCAGCCGCCACCACCCCCCTGGACGTCTGCAAGACCCTGCTGAACACGCAGGAGAACGTGGCGCTGAGTTCGCTGAACATCAGCGGGCACCTCACGGGCATGGCCAATGCCTTCAGAACGGTGTACCAACTGGGCGGCGTGCCCGCTTTCTTCAAGGGCGTGCAGGCCCGCATCATCTACCAGATGCCCTCCACCGCCATTGCCTGGTCGGTCTACGAGTTCTTCAAATACTTCCTCACCAAGCACCAGCAGGAGAGGGGCAGGGCGGGACCAGCGCCCACCTGATGCGGGCTCAGGCCCGTCTGCGGCGCCCACCTTGCCCACACTGGGCCCTGTTGTGAGGAAGGTTAGCAGGTGGCTTCAAGTTTGTCGTTTTTGTTGTTGATTTGTGTTCCGTCTGTGTTGCTGTTGCGTGTGTGGGCAAAAAGATGGAGTTACAAAGTGTTGGGAAGCCACTTGGGAGTGAAAGCAAGGAGAGGGCTTTTTGATGGGAAAGGCAGGCCCAGCTGGGCGATCATTTCTTTGTGTTCAAGGCAGAACCCTTCAGCGGAACACTCCTGTTCCCTCCCATTGAATTCTTCTTGTCAGAAGGTGTGCTATTACAAAGCGCTGAAAAACACAGCAATGTAACAAAACTCTAAGGATTTCATATGTGAAAGGTGTAAGAAAATGGCTTTAAACCTTTCACAGTAAAGGCTGGTTTTACACGGGCACACATGCCTGCATACTCCCATCGTTACTCCCTACCCCTCTTCCAAACGGAGTTGCAATGTCACATAGTTATTTATGTAAATATAGAGGTTTGTTGATTATTTTATTGGATTTAAAATGTGGGAAGAAATATATTTTTCTTTGGGCCAAATGTTTCAACTTCTACAATCATACACTGGCCTATTTGTACATTTTTGAATGGCCATTTATTTAAATGTCCGTTGAATTTTATACATTCCTTAGCCTTGCACCATAATCTGTCTTCAATCAAGTGCCTACAATTCCACTTGCAGCTTTCTTTGACTTCAGAAAGGATGCTTCTATCCATATTTTCACAATCTTTACTGTGGCCCATCAGTGCACTACTTATTCTGTAATATTTTATTGGATAAGATGTAGATTGTATATACAATATAAAACACTGCCAAACAACATGGCAAAACTGAACAAATGTCAAATTTGACTATATTTATTTAATTTTAAAAGTTGAATTATTGTCCTGTTTTAACGGGATATGAAGACTACTTCAGACAGGGTTTTGTATACATTTCTTATTAGTGTAGCAGAGCAGAATGTGAATGATGTGGTGGTTTAACAGGCCCACACATTTTCCTGGTGGTTTTGTTGATGTTTTGGCTTCCTTGTAAGCAGTTAAGTGAAGTGGTTACTTTTTTTTTGTCTTATCTGAAGATGCCATCTTTGAACATGCATGTTATAAAGCTATCAAAATATGAATCAAACTTAAAATCACAATATGCTTTGTCCAGCACTGAAACATTCAGTTGACACTGACAGTGTTTTGTTTTATAGATCACTAATCCTGGCAGGAATTCTTCCTTTCTCTTTACCTTCCCAAGACCAAGTGTCCTAACCTTTTGCAGTGTGTCAGTGCAGTTCCCACATTGCATTCCTGTTATGCCTGCACACATCCGGAAACCATTTCATTGTCTTTCGAGAAGTGCACTTCTTTCTTGTTTAATCAGCCATGTTTTTGCAGAAACGTCCTACATAACATTTGGATAGATGATTAGACAAGGACTCTTTGTTTCTTTGACGTTTATTTAAATGTGTTGGAATCATGCACAGGACCTTCTTGTCTAAATCATGTGTACAAGAAGTATAGCACAGAGGTGTAGCTCAGTAACTTCAATTTTTATAGAACTAACCATGTTGTAATGCAGGTCCCAGCTGGGCCGTGTGTTATTAATTGTTTATTTTCACGATAGCAACACACAGCAAGCGCACATCAATCCCAAAGGCAGAAGTGGAGTTTGACAGCAAGAGAATAGCACAGCTTTCCGATTTGCTGCTCTCAGAGGCTGAAGTATCATACCAAGTGTTACCGTGCCTTGAATCTCAGCCTCTTGCCATTCTTGAACTTTGTTGCTTTTGTGTGCACATATTCACAATTTGCAAGGAGATCAGGTTGTAAACCACTGCCTTATGACGGGACTGTGAATACCAGGTGGTAGAGAACTGAGGCAGAATGGTTGGCAGAACTGTTTTGTTTTTTCTTTCTTCCCATATGCTCTGCTTCACTCAGGTTCCCCTAGCTCTTCTCTCCAGATCACTCTCAGGTCTCCAGAGAGACATTTAGACTTTGTACTGTGCCTAATGCCACAGGAGTAATTGACTTCATGCTTGATTTTTTAAAATGGTCATTTTATTCATTTCTAACATTCTTGAAGGTATTGTTCTACTAAAATACTAAAATATATAGCTATATATTTTGAGTATTTGAGTAGCTGCATTGATTTTTTTCTGTGCAGCCAGCAGTATCCAAGTCATGCACAACTGCTTTAGAATATTGCTGTCACCTCACCCTTCATAGTCATATGTAAAGCACAAAGAAGCAACCTCAAGGAAACCCCATTCGCTGATGTAAATGTTTTTATTATAAAATGGTTTCTGGACAGTGCTTAAGTGGCGGTGGCTCGGTGTTACAGTAAATCAAGATTCGGGTCCGATCCGACAGACCCTTCTAGTTTCTTCTGAAGCGTAGCAAAAAAAATTGATCAATTAACTTTGTATGAAGATATTTAGTTTCAAAAGGCTTTCGCTTTCTGTGACTCCATGTTCTGAAAGTCACAGAAGCGTAAGCCAAAGAAAGCTAGCATTTCTTGTGCTTTGCACAAAAATCAGGCTTTTCATTTAGTAAGGAGATTAGAAGTTTTTTCATAGAAGATTGTAATGTTTTCTAATATTCTGGCTTCTTAATACCCAAGAATGTTGTTGATTTTTGTTTCAAATCCCCAAGTTAACATGAACTGTTGTATAATGCTTTAAGATGTAGTACTGTAGAGTGAAATGTCTTGGTCATTGTCTGTCACAGCATTTGAATCATGATCTCATCTTCTCTTTTCTTTTTTTTTCTGTTAATTTGTATCTTTGATGTACATTGTTTTACAGTGCTATGCTTATGATTTTATTTGAATTCTGCATACAGTATGCTTACAGTAGACAAGGACAGATTTTTTTCTGTGAACAAAATAGATTAAAAATAGGTTCACCAGGCTCTGCAAACAGAGCTTGCTTACGTCAATCTGCTTTTATTTTGCTTCTTACATGCTTTATTACCTTGTATAGTATGAAAGTAATACACATTTGTTTTTGTTTTTTATTAAGAATATTTTTTAATAAACAGAATCCTTTCTTGATTTTCTTATTAGATTTTCACCTTTCAAAAAGGGTTCTTTCAAAAAGGAAGAAATTAAACATTTTATCTTATTTAAAACTGTCACAGTATATGACAGTTACGATTTCTAAAAAACATTAAGAAATGAGCAATTCCCTCCATATTCTGGTACATGGAATTTTAATAACGAGATGCGGTGTGTGTCTATACTTGTCTATAGGTTGTGTAGAGGTTCCCCAGTGACTTATTTTTGCTCTTTGTTTTTAAAGGGATGCTTAGGACAGACGATGTGACTTGCATAAAACATACAAATCCTTTATAACATATACATAAATACACCGATACAAATACTAAATTGTTCATCCCGTAAAATACCAATGCTCTTAAAAAGCTCAATGACCTTAGCGCTGTGTTTTTAACAAGAAGAGGTGGATGCCAGTGGCTGTTCAAGTTACAAACCCTAGAATGTTGCTTGCCGCTGTTGTTTACAAGCCAGAGTTTGAATCTGATTTGTGCTTCTTTCCTGGCAGTTGAGACAGACATTTCTTTTCAGATGGACTTGAAATTTGTATATACTCATGGCATTGCTCAGATGCATTTGAGCCAGCACTGTGCTAAATTTCCTTTTATAAATCAGTTCTCCAGGCTGAGCATTTTTCTTTCTCGCTGCCTAACAGTAATGGTGTTCACTTATCTCTGACTCATTTTGCAGTATATAAGAAATCTGTTTCAGTATTTTGCCTACATGCAAAAGAACATTAAATGTGACAGTAGGGAAGCTGTGGATAATGGGCACAAAAGCTTATAATGTGCACAAAAATTACTGAGCATGCATCTGTTCTTTAATGTTTTTAACCTCTCCAGGTGTGAGGGGGAGAGAGGGAGATAGAAAAGATATAAAGCACAGGAGAACACAGGACAGAGCAGGTGAAAAAGGGTCCAATGAAGGCAGATCTGGAGGAGAGGTGTGAACAGCTGAAATTTGTAATTGATTGGAGAGGTTCTCAAAAGCAGTCACTGAAAGAAGGGGAAAATTGTGATCCATGTTTAGGATAATGTTGGCTTCTGCCGTTTTTTTGGGAGTGAGAGCCCTGAAATCCCCATAAAAGTATATAGACTGATCTGTGAAATTATGGCTGGGAGAAATGAAATAGGTGATTGACTTGTACGGATCTCATTTATACTGATAAACATTTATATTGATCATTTTCAATATTTTGAAGTAATATAAATATTTAGATGTATTACCAAGTTAAAGAGATTGGACAGCTGCCTTGAGGTGAATAATGGCGACTTAATTATGAAAAGAAAATAGTGTTTAATGAAGACATTTCAAAATATTAGCTAAACCTTTCAAAAAATGAAAAAAATTAAAGTGACTAGCATAAATTTCACTTACAGAATGAACAAATTCTAAAAGATTGTCATTTTAGTCTAAGTACAGTATTTGTATTTATTAACTTATTCATCTTCAGAAGTCTCTCCACAGAGTACGACTTGAGCAGGATAGCAGTCTATGTCAAAGCACTGGACAAGATGACAGTGTAGAACTGCTGATCAAACCTAGCCAGTATACCTCTGAGAGGTGAGAGAACAAGCAGCTGAACTCAGAGGGAGCACTCCAGCTCCAGTCCAAGACACATCTGGACTCGGGAGCTTTGAGGCACCAGTGCTAACTGCTGTGCCCCCATGCCACCGTCTAACTGTAGTTAGTTTTACCTCTGAAATTGTAGTTTTGTCTTTAAGCTTTCCAAATCAAATAACCTTTAACTCTGTTGGGCTGTTCCCCATACAAAATGAGAACATGCTGATTTAGAAAGGAACTGGAATTGCACCAATACTTGGTTTATCGAATCAATCTGAAGATGTATAGCACTCCAATTAGTTCTGGTAACATTTTTTACCCATTTGAAATCATTTACAAAGCAAGTTTTTCAAATGATTCTTCCTATGCCCTGTTAAACCATTTCTGTTTTCCTTTATTAAATATTTTTTCCTGTCTTTTATTTCAGTTCAAAAGTGTACTTATAGCAGCATAGTGGAACAGAGAATTCAAAGGCTAATGATTTGTTCCAAGAAGCTTAGCTAAGCAGCACGTGCTTCTGTAAAATTGTAAAACTCTTTAAAAGCTTTATGTTTGTGCTTGTGTTTGGGATCTACATTAGACAAAATGTCGTTCTGTTTTTGTTCTTTTTCAGAAGCCCTGTGATCATGTGGTCGTCTAGGCACTAGTTAAGAAATCACTAGGCAGACATCATCTTCTAAATTGATATTGTCTATGTGGAAATTTAGTATTGTTACTTTCTATCACATTTGTAACATTTTTGAGTGACAAAAATACACTAATGGGCAATACACTTTGTGAAATAAAGGTATAACATCCCATTTTCATCCTGAAATATTATCCTCTTGGATATTTGACATTGTCAAAGACCTTGCATTCTTTTTACCTGTGTTTAAACACGGTAATATAAAGAGTGGAGCTTTTTATATGTGTGTGTGTTATATGTGCCTTCATTCTTAATGTTAAGCTGCCTCTTGACAGCATTTTCTATCCAAGTATCAAATAACACATCAAGCCTTCCTTCTAACTTGAAATTTTAATGCATTTCATTTTTATGCATGTGGATGGGAAACCGTGTTTTACAGGTTGAAATTGTTCTATTTTTCTTAAACAGGCATCTGGACTGAACATTTAAGATTCATCATGTACAGGGAGATATTTAAATATATATATATATTTGGTTCTATTTTGATCTCATGTTTTTCGCTGCTTTCTGAAACGCACACGAAAGAGGGGGGAAATAGTGTTTTTTTTAATAATGCCGTCTAGATTCTGAAAAAGATTGTATTCAGAATCTAGGTGAAGAAAAACTAAATAAGGATACAGATATTTAATGATTGTGTAATGCTGCTACAAATGTAACACTGGAGCTTTACAAAAAAATAAGATGAGCAATCTCATGAATCTCTCGTGTCTTTATTTCATTTTTGAGATTACGTTTGGGCAAGGGTCTGAAATGCATCAGAAATGCTGTATAATTCCACATTAATTCCACCATGATCTAAAAACCCTTAGTCATGCTTAATGTGAAGCCAGTGGCATCCTGTCCTCCCACGATGGACAGGTGTTTTGACAGTTTAGCAGGGGTACAGTATGTACTTTAGGACTGGGTTTATGAACATTTTGGGAACTCTAATCACTCTAATCCAATCAAGTACCTCTTGATGTCACTGTAGAACAACTACACTTTAGAGTTAAAAATGTTTGAGATGGAAAGTGATGATTAGCAATCATAGAAAGTAGAGTAATACACACTTTCCTGTATTTTAGATGCAAAACTCTACAAGTCATTATATAGTTAGTTAATTAATTTTATCATTTGTTATGAGCACTGCTTACAGATTAATAACCACGATTAACATATATGTAAACTTAAGGTGTCACTGAACACTGAGATGTGTGCTGTAGCAGTTGTGTGCGTTTTTCACACTCCAAGCCCAGACCTACATTAGTTATCCATGTGCTGTGCAAAGAACTCTTCTTGTACCAGTACATCACTTATTTTTACATTCACTTCATGCTTATTATTATTCGCTCAACATTGTGGGATTTTGTGATTCTAATAAAAGTTTTGCTTCTGTCAGAATACTATCAAACTACAGTATATTACTTGAAAACCATAAAGGGCCGGATGGAATTTGTCAATAAGGACCCAAAGATATGGATTTTGTTTAAAGGTATTTGTACATATAGACACTGCTATGCAGAATTCTTAGATATTTTGCATTTGTTACTCTTTTTTTGTGCAAAAGTAGTTCCTTGGTGGTAGTTGGCTGAAATTCTAGCCATTTTGTGTGAGGAATAACATTTAATACTGAAGATCTGTAGTGTATTAAAAGTAGCCTTTTTGACTCTATGGATATGTTAAGTGAAGTAAATGATGTTAATAACAAGGAACTCAGGACAGTGTATCTACAGTATTAACCTTGATTGGTCAATGTGATGGATTAACTACCACACTTCATATCAGCTGTCCCTTTAATAAGTTTATCTTGAGTTGTTTGAAGACATTCTTGAACATTCTGTTGAAAATGAATTCGAGATTGCTAAATGGTAAGCATGGTCTCTTGTAGCTTCTGATGGTTGTGTATGAAATTGTCTAAGACTTTTGCACAGCAGTCAGTGCAGGATATAATGTCTAATGTAGTGATATTTACCACCAAGTAGATGGTGCTGTTGTAACAAAGATGGAATTAATTTTAATTTTAATTTTAATTTTAATTTAACTGTAATCGCAAGCCATTTGTGACGGGCTGACATCCCACTGCTCTATCCTTTGGGTCAGATTTAAATGTTTGTTTAACAAAATAGAAAATATATCAGGTTACATCATAATAAAAATCATCATCATAACTTTTATTTATAAAGTGCCTTTCCAAACTCAGAGACGCTGTATGTAGTGAATAAAGAAAAAGACAGAGTACAATTAAAAATAAAAGAAGAAAAAAATAAACAAGACCGTACAAGTCTATAGGTCAATCAGACTTCGACCTTGGTAAAAAAAAAAAGAAGAAAGTTTTCAGTTTGGATGTGAGGAGAGTCAAAGAAGTTTTCTCTTGTCGAGTCTGAAGGTCATTCAACAACACAAGCACCGCCAGAGAAGGCACAGTCACCATAAGTCAGTGATTCTCCTGGGTACAGTGAGTGGAGAACCAGCCTCAACTGAACAGAGCTTACAGGAGGGAGTGCAAACCTGGAGGAGTTCAGAGGTGTACGATGGAGCCAGATTGTTTAGAGACTTGCAGGTCAGCAACAAGACCTTATATTGATTACAGTACATGACTTTACAGGCAGCCAATGTAGAGCCTTAAATGTGTCTCTACTCATAAATATAAAGTGTTCATTTCAAGTGCCTTGAAAAAAGAAACACACTTTCTCATAAGCTTATAGGTAAAACAAATATGCTATGGATATACGTAAGCTTAAGGTTTGATGCATGCTTATTATTTTAAAATAAGCTCTTTGACCTTCTTCTTCATTCAAAAGTGCTACATTGATCTTTTAAATATGTATTGAACTCAGTGTGTCATGTATTTTAGGGTCCATATACTGTATGTATCTTTTGCGTATGAATAAGTTAACAACTATAATGATGTTTTCTGCACAACATATTCCAATTTCATACAGTATATCTAGGATTTGAGGTGTCCTGGAGAACCTGAACAATTACACTTGTGATCATTAAGAGATGACACACACAGTGCACATCTATTACTGCGCAATATCGATGTTCACTCGTCCTGCCACCGACTGACATACCTTTTTTGTAATGTACTGTAATTGATTACATTGAAGTAGTTAGCCCTCAGCTTGCAGTACTGTAATTGTGATGTGAACACAGCAGAGGTAGGTAATGGACAAGTGTGTCCTTTATTAATATGTGGCAGTAAGGATTCCATTAAGTTTCATCTAGTTTGAAAGGAAGGTAAGTCACGCACCTCTTTCTTAAGATAAGTATTTTCTTGAAGTTACGTGTCTGGCCCTCATTGCTGTTGTGGTAAGCTTTGGTTTTTCCAAAGTTAATTCAGTATTCTGTGGAATCCAGGACGCAGAGCTGCTTCAACGAGAGCAGCTCAGAAGTTAAGGTTTTGTAAAGGCTTGATTCCTGGCTTGTCCCTCAGCTTTTACATCAATATGTAAATCTGAGGAAATCCCAGTTTGTGCTACACCCATTGAATGAGGTCCTATGGTATCTGGTAGAAAGTCAGATTGGCTTCCTACTTGAAAACCACACATCCTATCATGTTTATTAAAAAAAAGTCTGCTTTATTGAGTTCAAAAAAGCATTCGATTCTGTTTGACATGAAGGACTGCTTGACAAACTTCTCCAAAGTTGTATAGGGCTTAATGCACTTGGAGAACAAATGTGTAGTAAAAACTGGAAACAAAAGAACAAAATTCTGCACTCAGGGTCGCGGGCTGAGACAGGGCTGCAAGCTGAGTCCAACACTGTTCAGTATCAATATCAATGAGTTAGCAGAAAAGCTGGAACATTCTGCAGCCCCTGGCCTCACACTGCACAACACAGACATCGAGTTCCTGCTCTGCGCTGATGACTTGGCACTGCTGTTGCCCACAGAGCACCTGGAGCAGTACTGTCAGATTTGGACACTGACAGTCAATCTGAACAAGAGAGGAGCCATGATTTTCCAAAAGACAGCCATATCTCAGGGAAATGGGCGCCACTTCATACTAAACAACAGCACACTCTAACACTCGTCCAGCTATGCATACCTTGGTCTGACTATCAGCTCGTCGGGCAGTTTTGACCTGGCGGTGAGGGCACTGATGGCTTTCTACACAATAAGAAGGAGGCTTTTCAACATCAATCCTCCCACAAGAATCTGGCTGCAAATATTTGAAAGTGTGATCCAACCCATTGCCTTATATGGCAGTGAAGTGTGGGGTCTGCTTACAGGCCAGGGTTACATAAAATGGGATAAACACCCCATAGAAACTCTGTATATGACATTCTGTTAAAAAAACTCTAAACCACACATGCAGAGTAGAATTTGGCCAATATCCACTGTTAAACAACATACAGAAAAGAGCAATCAAGTATTGGTTACATCTAAAAAGCAATGACCAAAACTCAAAGTGCTGAGCCCAAAGGAGAGCTCTGTGAGTGAGCTGTTCCTGAAAGTCACTGGCCTGAGCCACAACGACCCAGCCAGCCACAGGACAGCACTGCAAGACCAGTCCAATTCAGTGTCAACCACCGATCAACCAGCAATGTCTCACACACTGGGACACACACACAACATAACCTGGAATGCTATTGGGCTCTAAAATGACACTGAATACTGGCTGAGTATCTGACCAGGGTACGACACAGCGAAACAGACCCTGACAAAGTACAGGCTCAGTGACCACAGCTTAGCCATAGAAACTGGGTGACACAGGAAGACCTGCCTGCCCAGAGAGGACAGGCTGTGCTCCCACTGCCAGCGGGGAGAAACAGAGACAGAGATGCACTGTGCCCCAGAAATACTCTGGAATTAGACATTCTTCCCTAAAATAACAAATCTAATCCCAGACTTCCCACACCTGCCAGAAGGACTAGCTACCAAATCTACTGGGAGAAGGGGAAGGTAACTTCCTCTGAGCTGGCAGCCCAGTAAGTGATCTGCTGTTCACGCCTGAGGGACAGCGACTGATCCCCTCAAATAATGTTTCATGTGGTGTCTGTAGAAGTTTACCTACTGTATATGTTCTTGCTCTAAATGTCTATGAATATCTTGTTACGTGTTACCACTTTGGCAACACTGTACTTCATCTGTCATGCCAAAAAATCTATATGCATACCGAATAGTGAATTCAGTAAGTGACTCTACAGCGGCAGCTTGTAAATGTGCAGTTATCTCTGTTGCCTGAAATGAAGAAAATCTTTGCACAACTGCTCATGGCAGTGCAGTCTTTACTTCGTTGGCACGTGTCTTTGCACATGGACTAGTTTGTTATGTGTTTATGCTTCTGTTTTTTTTTTAAATGCAGTGGCTGTTCATCAGGAACAGAGGAAGAAAGCTCCTTTGCAAACTGTCTCTAGTTATCATGATCATTTTGTAATCAGCTTATCTATAATAAACTTTGTACCAATTTCTATGGCTTTTTTCAAGATAAGACCATCATTAGAGAGCTTTTGACAGAATTTAACAGTGCAGAGCCTGTGTGCTTAGCTGAGCCAAAACACTCTGGAAATGGTGCACTGGCTGTAATGGATATCTAGCATCAGTCGGATGCAAAACTATATCAGCTGATAGGAAAAGAATGGAGCTCTGCTGGCCCTGCTACATCAGGGATTGTCTTTCATCGGCTGACCTGGGAGTTTATGAATCTTCCCTTCTTCTGTGCAGAGCGGGCTGTTTAAAATAGCCTTATCAGTAATGATGAACTTTGTCAGCCAG